TGGAGATGGTTCAAATATGAAACGTGAAGGATAGGACGGGCTTCTGAAGTGATAATCAACGATTTTCATGAAACTTTCGAAGATAGTGGGTCTGGAAAGTGGCGATTGCAATTGCGCACAGCACGGGGTGTAAATTGGAGGTCGATGTAGCTTGGAAATTATTAGAGATAGAGAAATAGTGTAAATTGACAAATTTTGTATTTTTTTTAAATCAAAAATAAACAGTTTCGTATCCCTCGAATTTCGTCGTTGAAAAATATAAAATTTGTCAAATTGCACCGTTCTTCTATCTCTAAGGGGTGAAGGTCGCCCTGAAAGCTGGAGGCAGATATATTCAGTCTAATACCTTGAAAAGTATTAGAGATAGAGGAATAGTGTAAGTTGACGAATTTTGTAGTTTTCAATGACAAATTTGAAAAGTAAAAAATTATGAATAATTTTCACCGAATATGCTTATTACCCTCATCTTTTAGGGCGATTTTCATCCCTTCGGTGCGGAGGATTGCCGATAGAAAGAAACATGTGTCAAATATTATTTTTTATCAATATCGGTGATTATCACTTCGCGTTTTTCCCTTGTTAATTCAATGTACGGCAAGACATTAATTTGATTACAGACTCTTGATCAGCTAGATCACCTGACACGAAAAAGTTTACAATATGTAAGAAATATAGAAAGATTTTCAATTAACGTGTTCACTGATTAACTAGAATTTAGGGTAACAAAAGAATCGTCCTAAAAAATGTATGGATGTTAACTGTTAAATCATCGATTGACAGTTCTTATGAAATCAAACGACGGCCAGGGCCACTTTAGCGGACTGAATAGGGACTGAAAAAAGATTGAGCACTTGTCCTGACCATTGAACAGACCGATTTCTTTCATTGACTGCACCAATTCACAATCATAAACGTATTAATACACAGATCGTCAGACGATATTTACCACTATTACAAATATAACATAGTTGCTAGGTTTGCAAATTAATTCCGTACCTTTCTTCACAAAAACTTCATCAACTGAGAACCTCCATATTTTTTCACAGAGAGGAAATTCCTCAGTTACTCGATAAATAGAATTAAAGTGATCCAAGACAATTGAAATTTATATTCAATTTTTTCTACATAAACGTTGAAATTTATAAAAAACGGCACAAAATTAATTTCCTACAAAA